TCACATCATTTGTAGGTAGAGGAGTCACATCGTTTGTATGTAGAGGAGTGACTCCTTTTGTAGGTAGATAAGTCACATCGTTTGTAGAGGAGTGACATCATTTGTAGGTAGAGGAGTCACATCATTTGTAGGTAGAGGAGTCACATCATTTGTAGGTAGAGGAGTCACATCGTTTGTAGGTAGAGGAGTCACATCGTTTGTAGGTAGAGGAGTGACTCCTTTTGTAGGTAGATAAGTCACATCGTTTGTAGAGGAGTGACATCATTTGTAGGTAGAGGAGTCACATCATTTGTAGGTAGAGGAGTCACATCATTTGTAGGTAGAGGAGTCACATCGTTTGTAGGTAGAGGAGTCACATCGTTTGTAGGTAGAGGAGTGACTCCTTTTGTAGGTAGATAAGTCACATCGTTTGTAGAGGAGTGACATCATTTGTAGGTAGAGGAGTCACATCGTTTGTAGGTAGAGGAGTGACTCCTTTTGTAGGTAGATAAGTCACATCGTTTGTAGGTAGAGGAGTCACATCGTTTGTAGAGGAGTGACATCATTTGTAGGTAGAGGAGTCACATCATTTGTAGGTAGAGGAGTCACATCATTTGTAGGTAGAGGAGTCACATCGTTTGTATGTAGAGGAGTGACTCCTTTTGTAGGTAGATAAGTCACATCGTTTGTAGAGGAGTGACATCATTTGTAGGTAGAGGAGTCACATCATTTGTAGGTAGAGGAGTCACATCATTTGTAGGTAGAGGAGTCACATCGTTTGTAGGTAGAGGAGTCACATCGTTTGGAGGTAGAGGAGTGACTCCTTTTGTAGGTAGATAAGTCACATCGTTTGTAGAGGAGTGACATCATTTGTAGGTAGAGGAGTCACATCGTTTGTAGGTAGAGGAGTGACTCCTTTTGTAGGTAGATAAGTCACATCGTTTGTAGAGGAGTGACATCATTTGTAGGTAGAGGAGTCACATCATTTGTAGGTAGAGGAGTGACATCATTTGTAGGTAGAGGAGTCACATCGTTTGTAGAGGAGTGACATCATTTGTAGGTAGAGGAGTCATATCATTTGTAGGTAGAGGAGTCACATCGTTTGTAGGTAGAGGAGTCACATCGTTTGTAGAGGAGTCACATCGTTTGTAGGTAGAGGAGTCACATCGTTTGTAGAGGAGTGACATCATTTGTAGGTAGAGGAGTCACATCGTTTGTAGGTAGAGGAGTCACATCGTTTGTAGGTAGAGGAGTCACATCGTTTGTAGGTAGAGGAGTCACATCGTTTGTAGGTAGAGGAGTCACATCGTTTGTAGGTAGAGGAGTCACATCATTTGTAGGTAGAGGAGTCACATCATTTGTAGGTAGAGGAGTCACATCATTTGTAGGTAGAGGAGTCACATCGTTTGTAGGTAGAGGAGTGACTCCTTTTGTAGGTAGAGGAGTCACATCATTTGTAGAGGAGTCACATCATTTGTAGGTAGAGGAGTCACATCATTTGTAGGTAGAGGAGTCACATCGTTTGTAGGTAGAGGAGTCACATCGTTTGTAGAGGAGTGACATCATTTGTAGGTAGAGGAGTCACATCGTTTGTAGGTAGAGGAGTGACTCCTTTTGTAGGTAGATAAGTCACATCGTTTGTAGAGGAGTGACATCATTTGTAGGTAGAGGAGTCACATCGTTTGTAGGTAGAGGAGTGACTCCTTTTGTAGGTAGATAAGTCACATCGTTTATAGAGGAGTGACATCATTTGTAGGTAGAGGAGTCACATCATTTGTAGGTAGAGGAGTCACATCATTTGTAGGTAGAGGAGTCACATCGTTTGTAGGTAGAGGAGTCACATCGTTTGTAGAGGAGTGACATCATTTGTAGGTAGAGGAGTCACATCATTTGTAGGTAGAGGAGTCACATCATTTGTAGGTAGAGGAGTCACATCGTTTGTAGGTAGAGGAGTCACATCGTTTGTAGGTAGAGGAGTGACTCCTTTTGTAGGTAGATAAGTCACATCGTTTGTAGAGGAGTGACATCATTTGTAGGTAGAGGAGTCACATCATTTGTAGGTAGAGGAGTCACATCATTTGTAGGTAGAGGAGTCACATCGTTTGTAGGTAGAGGAGTCACATCATTTGTAGGTAGAGGAGTCACATCGTTTGTAGGTAGAGGAGTCACATCGTTTGGAGGTAGAGGAGTGACTCCTTTTGTAGGTAGATAAGTCACATCGTTTGTAGAGGAGTGACATCATTTGTAGGTAGAGGAGTCACATCGTTTGTAGGTAGAGGAGTGACTCCTTTTGTAGGTAGATAAGTCACATCGTTTGTAGAGGAGTGACATCATTTGTAGGTAGAGGAGTCACATCATTTGTAGGTAGAGGAGTGACATCATTTGTAGGTAGAGGAGTCACATCGTTTGTAGAGGAGTGACATCATTTGTAGGTAGAGGAGTCATATCATTTGTAGGTAGAGGAGTCACATCGTTTGTAGGTAGAGGAGTCACATCGTTTGTAGAGGAGTCACATTGTTTGTAGGTAGAGGAGTCACATCGTTTGTAGAGGAGTGACATCATTTGTAGGTAGAGGAGTCACATCGTTTGTAGGTAGAGGAGTCACATCGTTTGTAGAGGAGTGACATTATTTGTAGGTAGAGGAGTCACATCATTTGTAGGTAGAGGAGTCACATCATTTGTAGGTAGAGGAGTCACATCGTTTGTAGGTAGAGGAGTCACATCGTTTGTAGGTAGAGGAGTGACTCCTTTTGTAGGTAGATAAGTCACATCGTTTGTAGAGGAGTGACATCATTTGTAGGTAGAGGAGTCACATCATTTGTAGGTAGAGGAGTCACATCGTTTGTAGGTAGAGGAGTGACTCCTTTTGTAGGTAGAGGAGTCACATCATTTGTAGAGGAGTCACATCATTTGTAGGTAGAGGAGTCACATCATTTGTAGGTAGAGGAGTCACATCGTTTGTAGGTAGAGGAGTCACATCGTTTGTAGAGGAGTGACATCATTTGTAGGTAGAGGAGTCACATCGTTTGTAGGTAGAGGAGTGACTCCTTTTGTAGGTAGATAAGTCACATCGTTTGTAGAGGAGTGACATCATTTGTAGGTAGAGGAGTCACATCGTTTGTAGGTAGAGGAGTGACTCCTTTTGTAGGTAGATAAGTCACATCGTTTATAGAGGAGTGACATCATTTGTAGGTAGAGGAGTCACATCATTTGTAGGTAGAGGAGTCACATCATTTGTAGGTAGAGGAGTCACATCGTTTGTAGGTAGAGGAGTCACATCGTTTGTAGAGGAGTGACATCATTTGTAGGTAGAGGAGTCACATCATTTGTAGGTAGAGGAGTCACATCATTTGTAGGTAGAGGAGTCACATCGTTTGTAGGTAGAGGAGTCACATCGTTTGTAGGTAGAGGAGTGACTCCTTTTGTAGGTAGATAAGTCACATCGTTTGTAGAGGAGTGACATCATTTGTAGGTAGAGGAGTCACATCATTTGTAGGTAGAGGAGTCACATCATTTGTAGGTAGAGGAGTCACATCGTTTGTAGGTAGAGGAGTCACATCGTTTGTAGGTAGAGGAGTGACTCCTTTTGTAGGTAGATAAGTCACATCGTTTGTAGAGGAGTGACATCATTTGTAGGTAGAGGAGTCACGTCGTTTGTAGGTAGAGGAGTGACTCCTTTTGTAGGTAGATAAGTCACATCGTTTGTAGAGGAGTGACATCATTTGTAGGTAGAGGAGTCACATCATTTGTAGGTAGAGGAGTCACATCATTTGTAGGTAGAGGAGTCACATCGTTTGTAGGTAGAGGAGTCACATCGTTTGTAGGTAGAGGAGTGACTCCTTTTGTAGGTAGATAAGTCACATCGTTTGTAGAGGAGTGACATCATTTGTAGGTAGAGGAGTCACATCATTTGTAGGTAGAGGAGTCACATCATTTGTAGGTAGAGGAGTCACATCGTTTGTAGGTAGAGGAGTGACTCCTTTTGTAGGTAGATAAGTCACATCGTTTGTAGAGGAGTGACATCATTTGTAGGTAGAGGAGTCACATCGATTATAGGTAGAGGAGTGACTCCTTTTGTAGGTAGATAAGTCACATCGTTTGTAGAGGAGTGAAATCATTTGTAGGTAGAGGAGTCACATCGTTTGTAGGTAGAGGAGTGACTCCTTTTGTAGGTAGATAAGTCACATCGTTTGTAGAGGAGTGACATCATTTGTAGGTAGAGGAGTCACATCGTTTGTAGGTAGAGGAGTGACTCCTTTTGTAGGTAGATAAGTCACATCGTTTATAGAGGAGTGACATCATTTGTAGGTAGAGGAGTCACATCATTTGTAGGTAGAGGAGTCACATCATTTGTAGGTAGAGGAGTCACATCGTTTGTAGGTAGAGGAGTCACATCATTTGTAGGTAGAGGAGTCACATCGTTTGTAGGTAGAGGAGTCACATCATTTGTAGGTAGAGGAGTCACATCATTTGTAGGTAGAGGAGTCACATCGTTTGTAGGTAGTGGAGTCACATCATTTGTAGATAGAGGAGTCACATCAAATGGATCGTTCAGTTGTATAGTTTAAAAAAAATAAACTCTACTTTATCTGCGTATGTCGACATTCAGGCTTGCATCGGAAGCTTCTTTTAATTCGTTTTATTTTTTAAAACTCAGTAACGAATTTAGTGTTGTTGGCTAGCTGTTTTAATCTATTTTTAGTCATGGTTCACCCTATGCTTACAAAATAGTTAATCTCTAAACAAAACTGTTTCACCCAATGTTTATAAAATGGTTAATCTCTAAACAAAATTTTTTCACCCAATGTTTACAAAATGGTTAATCTCTAAACAAAACTGTTTCACCCAATATTTTAAAACTGTTTAATCTCTAAACAAAACTGTTTCACCCAATATTTTAAAACTGTTTAATCTCTAAACAAAACTGTTTCACCCAATGTTTTTAAAACTGTTTAATCTCTAAACAAAACTGTATCACCCACTGTTTAAAACTAATCTCTAAACCAAATTGTCGTCCACAGAAGATCAGCCCCCAGATTGCGGGCTCCTACACCGTACACCCTGATTGGGTGTCCGAACAGCGCCACCCCATCCAACCCGTCCAATCAAAACCGTCGTCATAGACGCCACGTGACTTCCGGTCTAGGATTTCTTGGTGTGACAGATGTATGTATGTGTGTATGTATGTAAGATAGTACGCTATTTCTTTAGAGATTTACTTTTTATATAATCCGGCCATTATACAGGTGTGAGGAAGGTTTTTTAAAAAGATGGAATTATAAAACCCGCAAGTCAGCGGGTTACCAGAACAATTTGCTGACTTCTGGGTACACGTGATTTCAGGTTCACCAATTCAGTATTAAAATGTACATATCGCACGTGTATGTTGTATGCGTGTCGGCTTGTAGTATGTGCTTGTAGGATGCTAGTAATTATGTATGTGTGTGTATTGTTGATGAAAGCAATCAATACTTGCATACTTGTATTTCTAATGTAAATATCTATTGTTAATAAAATTTTATAATTATATATTGTGTACTGTATATTGTAAAATAATGTAAGACAGAAATGGAATAAAGTTTACTTACAAGATGTATTAAATATGAACACGCTATATTTTATTTTGTGTGGACGTACAAGGGGTTTGTGTTCAGTGTTTCTTTCTGACTTTTTTCTCCGGGGGGGGGGGGGGGGGGGGGGGCACTTGATATTTTCTGGGGGGGGGGCGGTAAACATTTTTCGGGGGGGCAGAGGCGTAGCGACCCTTCCCGGCGCCCGGGGCGAACTTTCAATTTGGCGCCCCCCCCCCCCGCTTATATATATATATATATATATATATATATATATATATATATATATATATATATATATATATATATATGTGTGTGTGTGTGTGTGTATAATTATGTGTGTGTGATAGTGTGTTTATATATAAGCTTGTGTGTGGGTAAGAGTGTATTTGTGTGTGTAAGCGTGTGTGTAAGCGTGTATGCTACAGTCCGGACAAGGTTTAATAATTACATTGTATGATTTTCATTCCTTAAAACTTTACGACAATTTAATTCCCATTAAGATGCGTTTAACTTTTTTTTGCGAAAGATTAGTAATGTCAGTAAAAAAAATAAGCCTGATCTGTGTTAGAGGGTAGTTTGTAGCTAACGCTAATATGTTTAGACCAGCCTTTTATGTTCTAGTTTTGAACGATCTCTGTTGTGATATGGTACATAGTTGGATTCGAAGTTTGTTAGAGTAAGGACACACAAGTGACATACAAGAAGAAGTTATCAGAAATATTTATTGTTCACATTGGAATACGACATGGGTATTTCGTTGATTGGTTGATGGTATGACAAAATAAGCTAGAGAAAACAAACTGGAATCCAACGGATGTTAACAGCTCGTAGTCCTTGGATTTCGCAGATTTGCCCTGCCTTCTCGCACACAGTTTCTTCCAGGCATCTTTTCGGGGGGCAAAGCCCCCCGGAAAATTTTTTACGCCCCCCCCCCCCCCGAACCAAATGAAATTTATATAATTTATATATAGAAAATATATACTTTTAACAGTGTCCGCCCCCCCCCCCGAAGAAAGTTTACCGCCTCCCCCCCTCCCCCCGAAGATTTCAAGTGCCCCCCCTGGAGAAAAAAGTCTGGAAGAAACACTGATCAAAAGTATCTGATCTCTCACGTTGAAGTTGAGAGAATCGTAAGAATCTTACAAAGAACTAGTCGCGTCTTTTTTTTTTAACAAAACTGGCTATTGAAATTGTACATTACGCGTTAATACACTTGGTTTCTTTACTAAGTGTTAAGAGAGTTATCTACTCACCAATCCAGTACAAATACTTGCGATTTTTGTTAGCGAAAAAAGCGCCCCCCCCCACCCCCACACACACTCATCACAACCATCTTGGACAAAGTTTGTAGAGCGGTTTTTAACGTAACTGACTTTTTAAAAAAAAAAATGTTACACAATTATACAATGCACAGTACAATTCGTTTCTTTCTGAGAGCTAAAGGTTGTTTACTCAGAATCCTGTGTAATTTTGCTATTTTATTTAGCCTAAAAGCGCCCCCCCTGCACCATCTTGATAAAAGTCACTAACGTATTTTACAGTTCAACAATCGTACAATACGTTTTAATACAATTGGTTTCTTTTAATTGTGGTAACGTTTATCGACTCAACAATCTAGTGTAAATTCTTCCGTTTTAAGTCTCGAAAAAGCGCCCCCCCCCCCCATCTAGGAAAAGCTTCAAAGCGGTTTTGCCGGTCACTGTTTCTTAAGAGTATATGTTTTACATTAAGAAATCAAGATAGAAAACAGTTAAATCAGTATGTAAATGCGTGTAGCCATTACGTTTCTTAACTTAGACAGTTTATAATTCAAAACTGCAGCATAAAATCAGCTTTAAAAAAATTTTCCCACCCCTTTTGGCGCCCCCATAGGGTCGGCGCCCGGGGCGGCCGCCCCCCCCCGCCCCCCCCCTAGCTACGCCTCTGCGGGGGGGGGGGGGAGGACGACACTAATAAAAGTGTATGTCTGTATACTATATAAATTCCATCTCCTATCTCGTTCGGGAGGGCGGAGCTCCCCCCCCCCCAAGAGATGCCTGGAAGAAACTGTGTTTTCTGGGACACCGCAGCTCTTAAACAGTTTGCGGCACCCCAATATGTAAGAGCAAACTAATAAATATAGATACTAAAGATAATCGAATCCCTAATTAAGAATTATCGGACGGCGTGGCCTAGTGGTAGAGCGCTAGACAGCTACGAAAGTATCGAGTTCGAAACCGCGTTCAAGTCAGTAGAATGTCTTTGAGTCCACCCAGCTCATCTTAGCGAAAGGAAAAGCCGGCTGGGCTAAGTGCTGACCACAATATCCCTTCACAATATGCCGAGGTTAAGAAACATGTGAACTCTACTTCATCTGCCCAATGGATCGCTAGGTCTGAAGAGGAATCTTTATTAAATTAAGAATTACGACAAGGTGGTGATGTGGGTATCTCACCGTAGGTCAACATCTTATGCCACCCCCCCCCCCTCTCTACCCCACCCCCCATACCTGTCTAACAATAGTGCAAAAACTAGCACATGATAGAAGAAAAAACGAACCCACCAGAGCGAAGAGGGAGTTATCCCTGTACAGCATGTATGGGGTGAAGGTCGGTCAAAGCTCTAGCTTTTTTTTTTAAATTTGAGGTCTAGAATTGAAGAAAAAAACTTGAATGAGAAAGACTCGGTTACAGGTCACTGTATTTCCGCTTCTTTGGTGCTGCTCTATGTTTATTTCTTTGGTGCTGCTCTATGTTTATTTAGCTTGGCTCAAACTCTATAAACACCTTTTTAAAAAAGTTTGATAGAGTACTTGATGACTATTGCAACCAAAGTAGGTAAGGACGTTTTTTTTTGTTGTTTTTTTTTAAATTATCCAATATATGTAAACATATACGTGAATGATATTTAAAATCTTTTTATTTTCAAATGTTTGCCTTTAATATGTTCACGAAACTACAGTTTCCGAATACACGTAGCTATGTTTTAAACTCTAGTTGGTCACTTGTGATTTATTATAACATTCTTTTTGACTCCATGATTACAAAAAAAATGCATTACTTTTGACCGCCTTGATTACATGCATTACTTTTGACCCCTTTCATTACAAAACACACATGCATTACTTTTGACCCTTATAGATCACAACATATACTTTCATTACTTTAGCCCCCCCCCCCCCTCCAAACTGATTCCAGCACATATATGGATACCTAGAGCTGTTATGTCTTTGTATCCATGAGTTTCAGACAAGCCTCTGTCCATTCCACTTTCTGGGACTAAAAAACACGTATTTGTATTCTAACTTTCGGGACTTAAATTATTTTATTTGAATAGTTTTCATTATTTCCCGCTTT